AAGAAATTTTATTTTCAAGAATTTGTGCAGACAATGGTGAATAAAAAATTGTATTTCAACTATAAAAAGCTGACTTCACGCCACCCTGGCATACAGAATTTATGGTGATGCCAGTAGGAGTCTGGGGCGATACTGCTATCCCCATTCTCCCACCTCTAAAAGACCCTCTTAGAGGAACCACTTCTATTAATTTTCAGTCAAAAAATATGACACATCAAGTAAAGTAATGAGTTAAACAGGTTTCTGCTTATCTGCATATATGAAGTCAAATGAAATAAGCTGTGTGTTTTGTTTTGCTGTAAATTGCCTTCACTCTGTGCACTTTTTGGTACATTCTGGAATGAAAACATCTCAAAATATTATAATTCAAGAGTTAAGATGACCCACCCAGGAGGCTGTAAAAAAATGATTTGAATAACTAGAACAGTGAAATGGAACTAGTTTAAAATCTGAAACAGCTCTAAGCACAAAGCTTAGAGACATTAGCCCTATTAGAAAAAAAAGTCATTAAAGCTACACAATATCAAGTGCAAACATGCTGAACTTGTATCTCCAGGGAGTGACACGCCTGTTGGCCGACAGACCCCAAACTCACACCCACGAGGTATAGCTCCTTTCCCTTTTCCTTTCTTTCATGTGAGATCCTCAGAAATGACCACTGAAAACATATGAATTATTGAAATGTTACTCTGTGGACCAATTCCTGAAGAGACAACAGCCACAACTCTGAGATGATTCGACATGTAGTGTTTACGTGATGACTTTCTGTACTTTGAGAAATCCTCAAAGACTAAACTGCCTATGTTAGAACCTAAACTTCCTAGCAGCTTCTGTCCTTTTGGAGAAAGACAAAAGACAACTTACTGTCACACAGGGGCAACCACCGTTACTTTGTCCACAGTCAAGTTTTGCTCTCATGGACAATCCATGGTAGACCTATGTCCATGCCTGCTTTTTACAATTTTAGACCAACTTTTTTTTAAAATAAAGAAGTTCGAGGCTTCAAAAATAAAACATTGGATCCTTTTGCTGATACGAGGAGGGAATGGAGAAATCTTCCCTTCAAATGTTGTCACCCTCATTTTATTCACGGATTCTATGAATTGTTCAAATATGCCTATGAATATCAGCAACTTCTCTCACTCATTTGAACGTCTCATGTTCTTATAATACAGGATTTACAAGGGACAGCTAAAGAGGGTTTTACTATGAATAAAATTAAGAGTTGGCCAAGAAAAACAAGTAATCGACTAAAAACTGCCATAATAAACCAGATTTAAACAAAGAATAAGTTTGTATCTTGGATAACATGATAAAACTTCCATTTAACATCACAATCAATTTATACTAGACAGCTTTACTAGTAATATGAACTAATATACTAGATATATTTCTTCTACCCTAGCTGCAAATATATTAAATAATTATTTCTCCAATCGTTTCTCTTTTCCCTAGTGGTGGCATTTAAAACTGAGTACAGCATGTAGCAGTCAGTAATTTAGAAAATATAAAAAGGCTTTAGGAAA